AACCACCAAAGAATATAAGTTGAGACTCTTATTCTGCCTTTGAGGCATTTGGCATATCTGTGTGCATATTTTGATCCACCAGTTCTTGAAATAGATAGCCTTATTCTCAAGCAGACAACAGTTGACACCACTCAGTTCCCATCATGCTCCAATGCTTGAACATATAAAGAGTATATGTTCCAAGCCTCATCCTCCTTACCACATATATCACAAATCCTTTCCATTTCCACTCCTTTACCCATTAGCCGCTTCTTGGTGCTCAGAAACCAAAACCAGCATCTCCATAAGAAATTATTTACCTTGCTTTTGATTGGCCAATTCCATATAAAATTCCACTTTCTCTGATTGCAACACTTATTTCTGCTAGATTCTGCTACCAGTTGTGACTTCAATGCTCTCGAAATGATGGAATCTTAAGCTTACTTAACTGACAAAATCCTTTCTTATTATACTACCATATCAGCTTATCTTTTTTTGTACTAGATGGCTAAGGGGGATCCTCGGTATCATTTCTGCATCAAAAGGGTTAAAAGTTTTCAAAATATGATCTTAATGACACTCTTTAACTCTCTGTCTAATTAGCTCCTAAACCCAATTCAATCTATTTATGTCCCCTTAGAAATGACACAAAGGTTTGAAGGTTGAATTATTGGAAGCTGAAGAGATCCTAAATATGGATTGATTTCCCATATCCAACTTGATACTTGATCTTCAGTTTAAAGACTCCCTTGTCCCTAACTATATTCTCCATAACCAAGAATCCTCATTTTTTGGTTTGACATCCATAAGCCTCTCCTCGTAGAAATGTATCCCTTCCATCACCATACTCATTAGTAGGTTAGGTTGGGTGTTAATCCTCAAGAGTTGTTTAACAACTAAGGTTTCATTAAGGGCTCTAAAATTCATTAACCCTAACACCTTCCCCCTCTTTTTGGGTCTAGATTATCCCAAATGGCCCAGTGAATTTCATCCACCCTGCCTCATTTTTCCACCACAAAAACCTTTTACTTTCCTTACAAATATCTTTACAAACAGAAACATGAACTTTAAAGTAGGAAAGATGACATAAGTAGGGAGAGCTTTTACGACAGTCCTAATTAAATTACCTAACTTAACTCAAAAATTTATTTTTCCAACTGAATATTCTGTTTAGAACACACTCTCTAATAAACTTAAAGGTATCTTTTTTTTTTCGACTTTATTATTCCCAAAAGGAGACCTAAGTGAGTGGATGACCTGATACTAGATATCCCATTAAAAATATTGTAAATTCTAGTCATGTTTCTGTTGGATTATACTATAAAAGTTCAGTTTTGTGTTACTTACAATTTCATTTTGAATGATGTTCTTGTCTATGGTTAAGTAAATAATCGTAGTTTATTTTTTTATGCGAACATAGTTTCTTTATTTTACATTGTAGATAAGATGGTTCAACTCTTTGAACAGAAAGATCTTATTATCGGTGTCTTATAAAACATAGATATTTGTTCACAACACAAACATAATTGAACTAATTGTCCTGAAAGGTTGTAGTGAGATTTTCTAGTTAATTGATATTTGACTAACGAATTACACTAGTATATCCCGGATGTATTGAATACACCTATAGGAGGATAAAATTATTTTATATTGACCAAGTAATTAATATTAACCTCAGTAATTGTTGTGTTATCTTAATCTATAAGACAATAGATGTGAATATGTATTTGGTACTTATTTATTTGATCTACCATGGGTGAGATTTATTTTGTTAGGTCGACATACTCAGTATTCTGGTAAATAATGTCGAGTGCATGATGTGTCGTTAAGATTATTTACCAATGACTCCGATGGGGCTTTCGTCGTTCGAGATATGAGCTCTACAATATCTTATGCGACCTCTTCTCTTTCATTTTTCTCTTCTTCCTCATTATTTTTAGGATATACTGTAAAAGCTCAACTTTTCGTTTCTGGCAATACCATTTTGATATGACAATCATGTTTTAGTCAAGTATTTATGTTTGCAATTTATTTATTTATACGAGCATAAGTTCCTTTATGTTACATTGTAAACAGTATGGTTCGATGTGTCGAACATAAAGATCATACTATCAATTTCTTGTAAAATATAAATTAAATATTCACAGTCTAGACATAATTGAACAACCTATGGTAAAAGACTGTAGTGTAATTTTGACTCAGTTGGTCTTTGACTGATGAATTACACTAGTACTTTGTTAATTATTGAATGGACCGCAGAAGGATAAGATTATTTAAATACTGACCGACTAAATAATCCAAACCTTCAATAATTGATGTGTATTCTTAACTGTAAAATAATAAACATGCATATATACTCATTACTTGACATACTCGGTATTTTGCTAAATGATAATGTTTGTATGATGTGCTATTGAATGAGAATCATGTTTGATTAAACAAGTTCTATGTTCTATTGTTTTTGCACTTAGATAAAATGGTTTATTGCGGACAGACAGAAGATCATTTTATCAATCACTTGCGAAAAAAGAATAATTGGTTCACAACCTAGATGAAAATGAACAAACCATCAGAACAGTTGTGGTGTCAACCGTACATTTGATCTTGACTGATTAGTCGCACTAGTACATTTTATGAATTGAACATGATCCCACATAGGAGCAGCTCATTTTATACTAATTGGTGTAGATGAACTAGGCCTAGGTTAACTAATGCGTTCTCTTAATATATAACATATAAACATACATGTGCACTCAGTAACTGTTACTTTGATTCACAAAAAGCGAGATCCATTCTTTTAGGTCAATAACCTTCGTGTTTTGGGTAATAGTTCTGCGTGTATGATTTACTGATACAATATTTACGGTCACCATGTGCGTTAGTTTGATGATGTCCTCAAAGTGAGATCATTAAAGATTATTATGTTAAACCATGCAGGTGGATTAAGTTCCTACTTAATAATAAAGATTTGAGCGGTACTAGCTTCGGTTCAAGGTATCGGTTAATTATTAATTGTCAGAAATCGAATTAAGTGATAAACATTATATTTTAAATGTGAGGAGGTAATTCGGGTAATTACTATTGGAGTCTCGAAATAACTCAGGGATGACAAAAGAGTTCAATAGTATTTTCTTAGTGGACCAAAACATTATTTAAGTTATTGAGCAGAGTGCGCTTGGTCCATAGTTAGGCCGAATAACTTAAGGATCCCACATCATCACCTCCTTAGAGTCCCTGGTATAGCCCTATAAATACATCATTAAGCAATGGGATAGGACACACACATAACCGCATGCCTCAAGCGATCAACCGATCCTAGTTCCCTTCGAGCTTTATCTCCGAGTATTTTTTGTCCATTAAGACAATCGTAGAGGTGTCGGGTCGTATAGCAGAAGTCCCTGAGGTACACGACACCGCAGAGATCATCCGCAAACAACTGCACGCAACTAGACATCCATGGCGAACCACCACGTGCGACCAGACGACTCGAGCGACCAGCCGAGACGCAGTCCCGATGATCATTGCGGATGACACGATCGCAACGAATGACCCGTCATGTTTGCTTGCAGCCCGTGAAGTTCTCGCGCGTTCCAGTTGCGAATATGACCTGTAGTCCCCGCATGCTGACGAATCGCAACAATCCCGATCGACCGCGACCCGACGTCTGCGAGACCCGCTGCAACTGTGCGACGTGTTACCAGCGACCCCCTGACATCCGAACGAGGTGATTTTTCAGCGAGTGGAAAATCAGACGATCTCCATCAACGCAAATCTACAACGTCTCAGAGTCTGCAATTTTAAGCCGTAAGTGTTCAACCTTAAACCCCTAGATCCGTTGCGCATAGGTTTATTGGTGATTATTCGATTCGTAACCTGTACATAACAGATTTTCACCAGTCCCAACACATCCAACGTGGAGGTCGCGAGATTACCATCCGACCTGAAGGTCGTGAGATAGCCATTAGACTTGGTCATACCGAGGTCACCATCAACCCTGGAACCAGCTGGTGCAGAACTAAACGTTTTGTCCAGGCCATTCATACCTGAGCTAAAGATGAACCATGCCAACTTGACGCACCCATCAGTTCACCTGACCTACACTGTATGCTCTATCAACATCTTCACTTGTCGACTTTCCAGTTATATCATCGACTTTCCTGGTATATTTCCAACCTCTAACCTTATTTGTCTAGCCATAGAAGATTACATCAAAGTCGTAGACACATAGTTGGCTCTAAATTTTGTTGAACAAGTCTATTTGAAAAGCTTGCAAGAATTCAAACCCACGGGATGGGGTTAGTCTAGCATTGTGGAAAATTAGTTATTTAATTAGTTTCATTTCCTTTTTCACTTTTGACAAACTTAGCGTTGTTATCCACAAAAAAAATTACGAAGAAAAAGTAAAAGCCCAAAAAGGCTGAAAAGTGTGGCGACTTTTTTGTAAAGGTAGGTATAAGAAAAGAGCCAATAATGGAAAAAAAAAAATAGGAAATAAAAGCTGAAAATTAGTAAGTCACACTTGAAATGAAAAGGGCCACAAAAAGAATCAAAAACTCAAAAAGCGTAGGAAAAGACAAACAACACAACTCCTTGTGGATGAGAAAAACTTTCCCTTTTGCTGACATGGCAGTATTAAAACCTTAAAACACACACACCTTCAAAGACACGCACACACATCCAAAAAGCAACCCGCAAAGATGGAAGAAGAAGAGTCTTTGAAACACAATATATTTATGGACGATACTACGGTCCCATTACGTAATAATCTAGCGATTACAAAATTCGACGAAATAGTTTCGTAACGGACCTTAGCATTTCCTTATATTTATTTATTTATTTTTATTAATAAAAAAGACGCAGCAAACACGCTCACTGCGTGTCAGAAGTCTTCCTAATTTAATCCCAATAATCTTTTTATTTTTGCTGTATCGTTTCTGATCTTTGCTTGTTTATTGTGTATGCTATGTTGGGATTCTCTTAGAAAATTTGGTGAGAGGAAAATAAGAAAAGGAAAAAAAAAAATGTCGGAAGTGAAAGACCCGAAGATAAAGCTTTTCGGTAAAACCATAGGGCTGCCGGAGACTGTTGAGGCGGCGGCGGACGGGATTTCTGATGCGGCTGCTCCTCCGTCTTGTGATGCTCAGACAGGAAGCAGCGCGAACCAAAAGCCTTCGAGTTCTATTATGATTCAAGATGGCGACTTTAATGGAGATGCAGATGACCCTGATTCGGACGAGGTATGAGATTGGGTTATGCTGAGATTTGCGACTTGTGGGCTGCTTTTTTTTTTTCGAGTTTTTCGTACTTTGGGGATATGCTTGCTTATTTCGATTTGGGGTTTTATCTTTTCGATGGCATTGAAATGGGATTTTGTTTTATGGTTTATTGGAGCAACTGAGGATTGATTCATAGGATTTGTTATTTGTTTTTCTCCTTTCCTTTGTACTCTGTTTTTTGGGTCTTTTTGATGTGCTCGAAGTACTGATTTGAACTACGTTTGTGGGCTGATTTTCATTTTCCTAGGTTTCAGGTACATGATGAGTGTTCCATGTTTGTTTTTCGAGTTCCCCAGTTCGGTTTTGTTATTTTGTAGCTCGTTCGAATTGCAATGTATTAGGTTTTGTTTCATTTGCTATACTTTGCCAAGATTTCTTCTGCAAGAACACGTCGATAGATAGTTGTGCGGTACTAGTTTTCCACGATTTCTTCTGCAACAACAATAGATTGTTGTATTGTTAAAAGATTTATTTATGCGAAGAAATGCGAGAATGGACTTTTTGAACGTTGGTGAAAAGTTTATGATAAAGTTTACTTATCTTTTCTCCTTCACTTGTAATGACTAAACTCAAAGATTCGGTATATGTGAGTAGTTCGAATTGGTTTATGAAAATTTTCTTTGACAGTGACTTCTTGCTTATGGCGCGGATTTTAGTCCGCAAAATCATGTGCACACATTTAACATCTATGTATTATCTGATTTGCATTGCTTTTCATCTCCGTCTCTCTTCGAAGTTTGTAATATTCCAGTCAGCTTTTAAGCTTATAAAAGCTACACGCGCAAAAACAAATAGAGTTGTTTGAACAACTCTTTTTACCCTTAACCACCTTATTAGTTGTCAAATTATCCTACTTCAGCTCTTTGTGATTACAATTTGATCTTTAAACAAAAAGAGAATAGATTACAAAAGCCTAGCATGATTATAAAAGGACCAATTGTGTTTCGACTTTTGCACTCTCAAATACCTCTTGTGTATTTTTATGTTAAAACAATGTCCCCTCAACAAGGGTCAAACCGATGAGGACGTTTTCTGCGAGGTAAGTGCAAATCTCAAGGGTTCTTTGGAATTTTAGGAGATTCATTTTTTTTCTCCCGTTCTCTCATTCTTTCTTACTCCCATTTTTTCTGTCGAAGTGTGTGTTTGTGTGAGGAATTAGACTAAACTTCATGGGAAGGTATATAACCCCAAAAACGACAAGTTCCAAGTTTCCTTCTTGTTCTTTTTTTTCTTTTTTTGTTTTTTCTTTTTGTCGATTCTCACGAGTATGTTGCAGAGGCAACCAGTCCCAGGACAAGACGACTCAAATGAACAAAACCAAGCCCACCATTCACCCTCAAGCGAATCAAATGCCACTAATGCCCCTACACCATTAGCCGAAGGTTCAAAAGAAGACCTTAACGAGCTAAGCAACTCGAATGAGAAAATTCTAAAGAAGCCCGTCAAGATACTCCCGTGCCCCCGTTGCAAGAGCACGGACACAAAATTCTGTTATTTTAACAACTATAACGTGAACCAGCCAAGACACTTCTGCAAGAAATGCCAGAGATACTGGACAGCTGGCGGGGCCATGAGGAATGTTCCAGTAGGCGCTGGTCGCCGTAAGAACAAGAACCAGGCAACCTCTCAATTTTGTCCTGTGGCTGTCTCGGAAGCCCCCCAGGGGGATCCCAGTGGAACTAGTTTCCTTGCCTTTGGTTCGGATACTCATGTGCCTCTATGTGAATCGATGGTGACGGATTTGAATGTTGGCGGCAAAAATATTGGGACTAAGGAGAGCAACGGGCATGTACGCTCGAGCGAGCCTTGGATGGACGAGATGGGTGAAAAGCAGGTTGTTAGATACCAAATTATGGCTTGAATTAAATTTCAAATTTTGGGAGTATTTTGAAATTATTTAAATAAAAAATTGCATAGCTCAATTTGTCTAATGATTTTCCTATCTTCAGAAATAAAAAGACATGCAGTATGAGTTTATTTCCTTTTATTTATCTAAATTTTGTTGTACTAAAATTTATCCAAGCAATTTAAATTTACACATGCAAATTTAAAAAAACTATTATTATTATATAATTTTATTGATTCAGTGAAAATACTTCTGCAGCTACCTATTTTTCATGGGGCCCCTTGGCCTTACCCATGGCACTCTGTTCAGTGGAGCCTACCAATGGCGGCTTCGCCAACTTTTGCCCAGGCAAACTTTCTGGGGCAGTTCTACTCTACAGCACCTCCTTATTGGGCCGGGCCAGGTTTATGGAACGTTTTCCCTCCCGCACCAACCTCAAGTTCCAGTCCGAATTCCCCAACCCTTGGGAAGCACCCGAGGGACGAGTGTTTTACTGCTGATTCAGAAAACGAACAAGAAAAACTAGAGAGTGATGCTGATAAATGTTTTTGGGCACCGAAAACTTTGAGAGTCGATGATCCGGGAGAAGCTTCTAGAAGCTCCATATGGTCGACTTTAGGTATAAATAAAGACGTAGATGGTGATTGTCATGATATGGGCGTAAGTGATGGTGATGGCCTTTTCAAAGCTTTGAAGAGGAAATCCGAAAACAATGATGATAGGAATCGAGCTCATGAAGAAAGCTCCACCTTTTTGGTGGCCAATCCAGCGGCTTTGTCGAGATCCGTGAGTTTCCATGAGACGAGTTTCCACGAGGAGAGCTCATGAGCTGGTTATTCATTGAGTACCGACACTTGGGGGCATCAACTATGGAACATACATTTTGGAGTTTGGTCGAATTGCAAAAAAGTCCACATATCTCTGGAAATTATGCAGGTCCCCCACTGGGTATTCGTTTCGATTTTTTACTTGTTGCGCCCTCGTTGGGTGGGTATTGTAATCACGGTAAACCGTGGGGGTAGTTTTTTCAACATTTCCATAATTTTAGGGCGTTGAATGAATCGCCGAGCCGCAGTTGATGGGGGGGGCATGGAGTTACAAGCAGATAGGTTGCTAGTTAGTTAGGAGACAGATTTATGTTTTTTGGCTTTACTTTTAGTTGGAGTACACAACAAATGTGTATATTGTGAGATAGAGTGAGAAGATTGGCATTTCTGTTGTGGGGTGAGTTTGTTGTCATTAAGCAAAATAAGCTATTTCTGTGAGAACAGTTGCAGTGCTGATGTTGGAATTTAACATCTCATTATTGAAACATTTTGTTTCCAGTGTGAAGTATTTATTCAAAGGTCAGTTTCCTATGAGCTCTGCATTATCAAATTTTGGGCATATTATACTGTGCTTGAAAACTGATGATAAGAATAAGAAGCAATAATTTCTGCACCCACATTGACATCTTTGGTATTTACTGTTTCTACTTTAAATTTTGGGTATACACTACCCAAAAAAAAAATGGTGATATGCCAACGGTATATATTCTACTGGATATTCCAATAGTACAATTTCCTTTTGAATGAATTTTTCATTAAAATATTAATGGAAATTTGATGATTCGAAAGGTCATTTTTCCAACAGTTTATTACCATAGAAAATTCCGCTTGAATATGCGATTTTCATTGAAACTTTTATTTTTAGACCTTCTCCACCAGTACTACAAATCACAAAATTGCAGTACGGGCTCCTCCACCCGAATGACAAAACCGATCGCAAGATTGGTTTTACACCCTCTCTCCCTCAGTTGGGTACAAATTTGCTTCTGAACACAGACATTGCATCCAGACTTTTCTTTTTACAATATAGTCCTTTAACTTTTATTCATTTGTAAAATGAATTTTTGATATTTTTGTTAATGTATTTTTTGACTAAAAGTTTTTGAGTAATACTAAAGTAATCTTTTAATTTGGCAAATGAGCCCAGGGTCGTAAGGAGTTTTCTGCGGGGGTCAACGAGGGGGCTGGAACTGGATGGCGCACCGTGATGGGGAGGAAGAAACGTGGTCAAGGAAAGGCACAATTGGGTAATTCTCGGGTGGAAAAGGGTGAACCGTCTGGGGTCCAAGCACCGACGGGGGATAAATCTGTGGCTGGACCATCAGTGGTTTCGGGGCCATTGGTGAATGGCCGAAGGCAGGTGGGATCTCCTTTGAAGCAAAATGCTGATGCTCGTCCTTCTACTCCTTTTTCTTTTACTTCCATTGTTCATCCGGTGGCCTCGACCTTGGACTCCACCAAACACCAGGTGGTACATGTGGTTGAACCATCAACCCCGGTGCCCCACAGTGGGGATGTCGAGCTCTTGGATCCGGGGGACGTAAGTATGTTGGTTGACCATTCGGCTTCCAGTCGGGGGCCAGCTGTGGTGACAGTGCCGCCGGAAGGGGATGATTGCGACTCTCTGGTGGAGAGTGTACATGATGAGATGCTGAGTGAGGAGGCGGGGACGCAAGTTCCTAGTTCTCTCTGATGTCTGGCTTGAATGCTTCCTTCTTTGTTTTTTGTTTCCTTATGAATATTGTGTCATGGAATGTGCGAGGGGCTACTTCTGACGGGTTTAGACGGGCCTTTATTACCTTAAAGCAGCAGTACCGACCTTCCATTTTTGCGGTGCTTGAACCACGACTTAGTGGTGTGGGCGCGGACAATTTCATTAGGCGGAGTGGTTATGATCGGTCCTTCAGGGTCGAGGCTACGGGTTTCTCTGGGGATATTTGGGTCCTTTGGCAGGATGCGGTTGATCTTCAGGTGTTGGAGTGTAGTCGTCAGCATGTTCACGCCCAGGTCAGGATTGGCATGTCTTCTGTCGAGGTATCCTTCATCTATGCTAGCCCGAACCCCCGGATACGTCGTTCTCTGTGGGTTGATTTGGGTTCACTTGTCCATCGCATTCGTGGGCCGTGGATTGTAGGAGGAGACTTCAATTGCATGCTACGGGTCTCTGAGAAAAGGGGGGTCGGTTCGGAGTTGCAATCTCAGCACTGACTTTGCCGATTGGATATTCAACAATGATCTCCATGAGTTGCGGACTGACGGCGATCAGGCAATGTGGTTTCGGAACGGTCTAGCGGAGAAGCTCCATCGATGGATTGGTAATGAGGCCTGGTCAGATTTGTTCCCGGATAGCTTGGTCCGACATCTCCCCGGGTGCACTCGGATCATACTCCTCTGATGGTGCGGGTCCTTCCGGCAGACCGGGTGAGCGGTATCAAACCGTTTCGTTTTCTTGCTGCGTGGCTTACTCATGAGGGATTTGATGAGTTGGTTTCTACTACATGGTCTAGTGGGGGATCCTATGTGTCTCTGGCGGCGGACTTCTCCTCTCGGACGCGGGATTGGAATTCTTGTGTCTTTGGTAATATCTTTCATAGAAAGCGGCCCCTCTGGTAATATCACTCTGAAAGGCTTTAATTTTTGTGTCGAATTAATTTTCAACCAAGGCTTTAAAACTTAAGAAGGCACTGTGAACATCTGGTTTTGCCTTTAACAAATAAATCCAAGTGAATCTTGAATAATCATCTATAAAACTAACATAATTAGCATAACCATTCAAAGATTTCACATGACAAGGCCCCCACACATCACTGTGTATTAACTCAAGAGGATAAGAACATATATTCTGAGAATGATCAAAAGGCAAAGAGTGACTTTTAGCCATAATGCAAGATCCACAAATATTGTTTTCATCATCTGCTTTATAGTTTAGGTTACATAACCTTAAAGCTCTCTTAACATTCTCATAATTGGCATGTCCTAGCCTTTGATGCCATAGTTCTAGGCTATTACATTTACTTAATTCAGAAAAAATAAGAAAAGGGTTGTGTCTTCAAAAGTTGTTGATTTTCTTCACTTGAAACTCTATGTTGGGCACTCTTCACACATTGCAGATTGAATTGATACAACCCTTCTTTATGAACCCCCTTGAGTAGGACCTCTTGAGTTTGTTGATCCTTAACAAAGCAGACATTTGGATGAAGTTCAAAGAATACTTTATTTCTCTTGAAAACTGTGAGACACTAAGAAGATTTCTGCTTATCATAGGCACATGTAAAAGATTTTTCAGAAAGAAAACATTTGTTTGATCAGGAGCTTGAAAAAGAGAATTACCAAAGTTACTCATGGTGGCACCTTCACCATTTCCCATTAGAAGTTTGCTTCCTCCATTGTAATCTGAGGCAATGTTCAGGTTTTCAAGTTCATTGGTTACATGATTTGAAGCTCCTGAATCAGGATACCAGTTGGTCTCAGAACCCACATCAGAATAGGTGTTTCCACCAGGCATTTGCACCATGTTCAAAGTAGGATTTCTTTTTGGTGTTTGTTGTCCTTGGCTAGTTTCTTGTTGATTAGGTTGACTGTCATACCTATACCAACACTTGTCACCTGTGTGGTTTAGGCCATAGCAGATTTGGCATTGAGATCTATTGCCTTGATTTCTTCCTCTGCCCCTGCCCCTATAAGAGCCTCTTCCCCTTCTTCCACCTTGAGCTGCATTTCTATTTCTTTTGAACTGATTGAAGATTGGGGTGAAGTTTCTTTGGAAGTGTTGAGTGACCACATTGGCATATGGTTGTGACCCTTCTGAGCTAACAACAGACCCTTGGTTCATCTCAAGTCTTGACTCATAAGTAAGCAACAAGGCATGAACTTCAGCAAGTGTGTGAGGGGGGAATCTTGAAGTGACATTTACCACTATTGAATCATATTTAGGCCCCAAACCAGTAAGAATGTGAAGGATCTGATTTTGTTCTGAAACATTTTCTTCTGCTATGGCCAGAACATCACAATGGTTCTTGATCCTATTGAGAAACTCTCTCATGGACAGACCAGCTTTCTTCAAGGTTTGAAGTTTTAGTTTATACTGCATTATTCTAGCAGATGACTGACTGGCAAATTTACTTTCAATAGCCTCTCATATTTCTTATGCAGTGTTTAAACCAACCATCATGACTAAAATCCCTTCAATGATGACATCAACCAGGAAGCCAAAAGCTGATCTTGCCTAACCCAATAAAGATAATCAGGGTTGATTTGAGACTCACCATTTTCTGGATCTGAGATGAGCTTCTCTGGTTTCTTGCTTTCACCATTGATGTAGCCCTCCATTCCATAGCCTCGTATGGTTGTTATGACATGCCGCTTCCATATTAGGTAGTTGGTTTCATCTAGCTTTGTTGATATCAACTGACTATTGGGTTGAACAAGAGAACCCATTGCCGCTGTACTTGGATTTGGAGCAGCCATGGAAGTAGAAGATGAAGTGGAGTGACTCATGGTGAAGAGAGAAGATAAAAATGGAACAAGAAAATAAAAAATAAAGGATGATAATCAGAAGCAGGTCTAACCCGCTCTGATACCATAACAATAAATCATCTCCATTGTCATAGATCTAAGCAAAAGTGCAGAAAATGAAGAACAAAGTTTTTGGCTGCTGCGCATAAAACTCACGTACACAATTCTCAATCAATGTTTACATGAGCTGGGAATAAACCTGTATACACACATCAAGGGAAGATAAACTAGACAAGTGTCCATCTTATACAAATGATCCTACTATTGTAACAGCTCCAAACTAAGAGTGTGGCCAGCTTTTGTAGCTTTAGGAAAAGCAGTTTTGTCTTCATTGCATGTCCATGCTGGCTCGTCATTTTGCATGAGTTGGAGGCTGCTCTTCTTTGACCAAGTTCTGTTATGCTTTTTCTCAATATTGCTAACAAGGTAAAGTTTAAACCCTTAATTAAAATTCGCATCTTTAGGTAATTGTTCTTATTTTCTTAG